AATTTGCCTTAAAAATTTTATTAAACTTACCTGAAAATTATTAAGTTCTGAATCTGTAAAAGTTTCCTTATAACTAAAAATATACATTTTATTCCAGATTACAAATAAATCTACAAGTTTAGCATTATGTTGTTTTGCCTGATTCAAATTTAAATCCGATTTGTATTTTGTAGTAATCAAATCATCAATAACAAAAACTAATTGCTTCATTATACTTCGAAACTCTGCTGCAGTAAAACGCGCAATATTACCAAGTCTATGTCTAAAAGACTTAAGTTCTGAAAAACTCAGAATTTCTGCTAAACGTTTGTCAAACTCATCAATTCCTTCTTGTTCAAAATATAAGCGAATATAGTCTCGAGTAAATTTAACTTGATAGTTAAATAAACCCAGATTACAATGATGCATGCGATCTGGAACAGTTGCACTATAAATATTTAGTTTACTATAAAATAAAATATGTTAATTATGAAATTAGTTTTTAGTTAATTTGACAATGTGTATTATTTACTGAAACTTCCAAAAAATGTTTTGTGTTGGATGGATAGAATATTTATAACAAATATTAATATCTAAAATATATTGCATATTATTAGGTATTCATAATTCTACCTGAGAATGTAATAATTCAGGTTTATTCAAATCATCGATTGTAACAGTATAAATATGACAAGGACGTTTACATCTGGAAGAGTTATAAGTTAAGGTCAATGATGCATCTTTGGGTAGATCACCAATAAATTTGGAGAGAAACGGAAAAACCCAAATTATTTGATTATCTGTTACAATATCTAAGCCATTACTTTCTAGTTTTTCATGGATTGGTTGTGTTATGATATCAAAACAATGTTGATATAGCATTCTTTTAGCAGATGCAAAGCTTGTTTTATTATTCTTACGATCGTGAAGTGGTTTTAATTTAGGTAAGAATTAAAGTTCTGCATAAGCTGGCTTGGCTTAGATTGCCACCGGCTCGAGCCGAGCCACTTTTTTTTCGGCTCAGCTTGGCTCAGATCGTGGAGATCAATTGACAAGCCAAGCCAAGCCGGCTTGCAAGCTGGCTCGTTCAGCTTGCATTTATATTTAGAAACGAAATACCGTCGAGAAAACGTTTCTCATCAAGAGATGTGTTCCCAGAATGATTTCCTTTGAGAGGAACGTTTTCAGAGCGTTTTCCATTAAGGAATTCGCTTCCAGAGCATTTTCTTTAAAAGAATTCGCTTCTGAAGCAATTTCCTTGAAGGATTTCGTTTCTAGAGCAATTTTCTTGAAGGATTCGCTTCTGGAGCATTTTTCATAAAGGATTTCACTTTCGGTGCATTTTCCATAAAGGATTTCACTTCCAGAGCATTTTCCATTAAGGAATTCGCTTCTGGAGCAATTTCCTTGAAGGATTTCGCTTCCAGAACGAATTCTTTTAAAAAAAACGCTCCAGAAGCAAAATCCTTCAAGGAAATCGCTCTGGAAGCGAATTCTTTTAAAGAAAACACTCCAGAAGCGAAATTCTTCAAGGAAAACGCTTCAGAAGCGAATTCTTCTAAAGAAAACGCTTTGGAAGTGAATTCTTTTAAAGAAAACGCTTCAGAAGTGAATTCTTTTAAAGAAAACACTCTAGATGCATTTTTCTTCAAAGAAAAACGTCACTAGATTCGTTTTTTTTTAAAGAAAACGCCACTGGGTTCATTTTCTTCAAAGAAAACGTCACTGGGACCATTTTTCTTCAAAGGAAACGTCACTGGTGCTATTTTTTTTTAAAAAAAACGTCACTAGGACCGTTTTTCTTTAAGTAAACGCTATTGGAGCAGCTTTCTTCGAAGAAAAACCATCTTTGGATTTATTTTCTTCAAAGAAGAAAATACAAGCTAACGAGTCGAGCTGCGGCACGAGCTAAGCCATGGCACAAGCCAGCTTGTCTAGCTCACGGCTCATTTTATGGTGGCTCAAGCCGAGCCTAAACGAGCTGGCTCGTTTGGCTTGCAAGCGGCTCGGCTTATGCGGAGCTTTAGTAAGAATCCTAGTAAGGCCTTAGCGTCAAGTTAATTTCTTCACCAATTTAGTATATTTTCCAGTGATAAATAAACAGGATGTTCGGAACTTTTACCAAGATAGTCTAATGTAGTAGCATCAGAATATAGAATTATTGATAAAACTTTCTTTAGTCCTGACCCAATTGATTCTTGAGCACGTTTCTATCACATTCCAGACCATTGTTCTCCATATACACGCTCACACTGTCCATTATCATTAATGATGTATTCTGGCAAAAAATCTCATTGACAATATTTCAAAATATCAGAATTAGACAATAACTCTTTGATAGCATCGAAAATAGGGTGATGGTAAAGGTAATATTCCTCATCTTCGTATTCTAAGATTTTTGTTTTGAGATATAGCAAATGATCAACACTCATAGAATTGACAAATTCACGTCCTTATGTTGTATTTGCTGGCAAAACGATATTATCTCAAAGATGATGTTTACGAAACCATTTCAATACATCATTTCTGGCTGAATTAGAAAAATGATGTGTTGATACAAGATCCATAAATTCTGCATAAGCAGCATCAGGAAATCGAGGAACAGTATGGCCTGAGACAGACCTTATATCAATTAAGATTATTTGATTAGTAAGTTTAGGAATTTGTAAAGCATAATTATGAATATGCTCAAAAACAGGTTGTTCTTCAGCTTCGATAGAAAATTCTGGTATTTCATCAGCATTATTTATATCACATTCATTTATATTCATGTTATTTTTGTCTGCATCCATATCTACATCAAATTTGTCTTCATTACATTCATTTTCCTTTATGGTTGTACAACAATGTCAATTAATAAATTAAAGTTTGATTCTAACACAAAAAAAAAAAACTTACTTCCTCAGAATTTTTAACCGTATTTTCTACATTATTCGAAATATTGTTTAATATTTCCAGTATACCTGACTTTGGTATGTTTTTGTGTGTTCACAAAGAGCAACATGACGTGAAAAGGTTCTATTACAATACTGAAATGGGCAACTAAATATCTTTGCATAAGGTCTAAGTGTTATAGGAAAAGCTTTTTTTATAATAAATATTAATTTTGTCAGAATAAATGAAATTATTAGGGAGAAAGTAAAAACAATTAACACAAAAGGTAAATAAAATTTAAATATAACATCCTTTTCAAATGCAAATGAAAATGATATACGATTTACATTTTAACCTTATCAATACATTAAACTTTTTATCTGTTAATAAATATCTAGTCACCAATTAAGTTTAATCACATCCTTTTTTATTT